GGGCAGAAAATACAAAAAAAACATCAAACTTTTCTTTTCCAGATTTCTTTTCTCTCTTGCCTTTCTGGGCTTCCGTAGAGACGCCCAGGAGAAAAGGTGTTTTTAACCCCAGAGGGGACCATCCTGCTTAAATGAATAAAAAAAAAAGAAGAAATCCACATTACAACTTAAACTACAGCAACCAAAGGAACAAAGAGCCGAAATATTCATCTTTCCTTCAGGATGAGTGTGGAAATGTTCTGCGGCCTCCATCATCAAGAAAAAAGAAGGATTTGTTCCACATCAGAGAAAAAGGCAGCGTGGGCGAAACTGTTCCTTTGTTCTGCCGTTTAATCATCACCATTTGTTCGCCCACGCTCATCACCGACGCCGTTTCTTCATCTGCGCCTCCAAACGCATCCGACACCCAAACTGAGGCGCCACTTCCTGTGTCCCACAAGTAATCCGATTACTCCGTGAATCCTCAAACTCTCTTCATTGTCCGACCTGACCGCTCACTTTCCTCACAGGCTGGCAGGCACAGCGAGGCTGCCGGAAGCAGTGGTTACTATAGCAACCTGTTCCAACATGGCGCGCTCCCATCATGCATTGCTTCTTCCCACGCTGACCGGCTAATGGGTTCCAGGACCAGAGCTGGAGGGGATGACCCTGGCGGGGGGAACTCTCCCGCTCGCTGTAGTCCATTAGCTCCCCACGCGTCATCGGTTGGCGCCATGGCAACGGTATAAATAGCCCTGGGTGTATCCTAAACAACTGATCTGTCAGTGAAATCCTGGAAACGTTCCACCGGCGCTGCGACTTTCAGCAGAGCAGGAAGTGGATCGATTATCATTTCCTGGCTGTTGTTCTGTTTGGTTAGATCTTTATTCTGATCAGTCAGAAGCAGAACAGAAGGAATTTGGTTTTTAGAAGGAAAAACAGCTGAAAAATCTAAGATAGTTTATCTACAACAGTTTGATCTTCCTGGTTCTGCTCAGATGGACGGACCGGGCTGCTAAAGGAAAAACACATCGGTATGGAGTGAAGTTTGCTCCATTATTGGTGTGAACAAAAATGAATAAATGCAATCCAGAAATTATACTTTGAAAAACCCTGAAATCACAGATTTGGATTAAATTGACACTGCAAAAACGACCTAGAAATAAGTAAAAATGTCTTAAATTAAGTGTATTCACCCTTAATTTGAGTAGGTAAATGAGATAGTTTGACAATGGAATGAGTATTTTTACTCTTAAAATAAGATAATTAGATAATATGCACTTAAAATAAGACAATGCAATAGTGTTTTCTTATTATAAGTGTAAATTGTCTTGTTCCATTGGCAAAATGTCTCTTTTACCTCCTTAATTCCAGAACAAATGCACTTATTTTAAGAAAAAATGACTTATCTAGATTTAGATTTTTTGCAGTGAAGTTCAGCTCCCAAACTATTAAATTGGAAATAGAATTGTTCGTATTAGTATGGAGGTAAAGGCATTGAGGAATCGTTTTCAGGTGGAAACACTATTTTAAATGTCACCATGTCTGATTTACAGGTGATTAAACAAAGGAGAAGTGAAAAATATTTAGCCTCGCAAAAAATTTGCACCAAAAAAACACTGTAAAACACCATGAAATGCTATTTGAATCTCAGAATGAACCGTCAGACTTTATAGATCCACATCTTGACTATAACTAAAACTGCAAACATGCATTTTTCTCCTCATCAAAGGGAATCTGTTCAGACAAATATGCTGATTATCATTAGTGACCTTCTGCATGAGGAAAAGCCTTTGCTCCTAAGATTTATTTATTTATTTCATTAAAATTTACCAACAAAATCACCAAACTAAATAGAAAATAAGAATAACAGAGCAGCTTATGTAACGCATGCCAGTTACATCACCTGTAAATGGTCGCACAATGACCTCTGACCCCTCCTTGGAAAGGTCTGAGCCTCTAGTTTCCAATGATGGCGGCCATTAGGGGGCGGGGCTAAAAATGAATACCTGCTGTTGCATTCCTCCCGCAGACTAATTTTTAAATCTTATTATTTGTTTACACAGCTATAAAACAAAAAGTATTTGGGGAAAAATTATTTTGAAACAAATTTTAAAGCTCCATTTGAAAGGACTGTGGATTAAACACCATGTGACTGTTTTAGCCATTTCTATAAATAAACGGACATCAGCTGGTGTCATGGCGGGCGCTGTTCCGGGCCTCCTCAATCCAGAGGTTAGCCCGCCCCCAGAAGGCGGTCTGGAAAACGCAGTTTGAAAATGATGCAATTTGAAAACTAAACTTTGAAACGAAAAGGTTAAAGTAATAAACCTATAAAAAACAAACCATCAGAATAAGCAATCTGAGAAAAGATTTTGCAGATTAAACATTTTGTCATAGTTTTAATTCTAGATTGCATTTTTTTAATTCCACTTATAAAAGATGTTATTGTTGGAGCAACAATAAATAAGCAAACTTCCTTTTACTTGCTGCGTTTTATGATTTATTGTGCTTGGATGGAAGGATCCGTTCAGCCTTTTGGTTTTATTGAGCTTTACAGGAGCAGTTCAGGCATCTCAGTTTTAATTCTAGATTCCAGTTTTAGTTTATTTAGTTTTTCTGAAACAGGTAATCTGGAGCTTTTTCTGACCAACTTTTTTTATTTCTAAATAACCCGTGCTCATCCTTTTAACATGACACCAAGGACGGTGGCTCATGGAGTCCCAGGATGAGCGGCCGCTCCGGCCTCTGCTTCGGACGCGCCTGTTAGGTGAAACATGGACATCTGTCTCCTAAGTGGTTCTGGGTCCGATGAGGTTCACCTCTTCCTTTTTCCAGGCTTAGAGCCGGAAGCTAAGCCGACATGGTCGCTGCGCTGCCCGGATCCTCAGGATGAGTCCAGCGGGCTGTTAGCCCGGGTCAGGACCTCGGAATGGGATTAAGGACACGCTGACATATGTCTGGTCTCTGATTCACTGATACTCAGGCTCATTGATCTGCTGTCAGACCGACAGGAAGGAAGGAAGGAAGCCTGACGGCGCGACCTTGGAGGAGCAGAGGGAGTAAGAGGAGGATGGAGGTGAAGACAAAGGAGAAGAGAGAGAGATCCGATATTGGGAATGAAGAAACGAGCAACAGAAGCAGAGAAACTCTTCCTGATTGATTATTTCACAGCGACGGACGAAACGGAAAGACGACAGCAGCCGATTCAATCTCTAGGTTCTGCATTCAGCGACGTATCGACTAATCTATAATCTGATTATTAAATATTAAAATAATTGTTAATGTATTTTATAATCATAATCAAACGGTTATATAGAAACTCTAAAACATAAATATCTAAATGATTAACCTCCTTACAGCAGTTCTGATATTATAAATACATGTTAAAACGTTTAATAAAATACAAGCATAAAAGTATTCCAGTTAAAAATTGTTTATAATATGAAACAAATAATTCTATGCATATTTATCCTTTTGTTTCTCTATTTGCAATATAAAAAGTGCAATAGATGTTTGTTTTAATCTATTTTCATTTAGTTTAGAAATCAAATAATCTTTTTAGATTAATAATTTTATTTCAAAGGTGTTTATTATCACCACATTATTAAGATGTTACTGTAAACTACAACGGTTATTATTTAATGTGACAGATATCACATTTTAGGGAACGGTGGCCTGGAGGTTTGGGCATAGAGCTTTGAATCCTGAGGTTATGAGTTCAATCCCCACTCTGGTTCCCTGAGCAAGACCCTTAATCCCACCCTGCTCCCTGGGCACCATGGCAGCCTGCTGCTCCCCAACGGGAGGGGTTAAATGCAGAGAGAGAATGTTGTTG